AGAATATCAGAAAGATGTCCACTTGGGCTTTATTGACTATGTAGAGGCTTTCAACTGTGTGGCTCATGACAAGCTATGAACAACATTGCAGAGAATGAGAATTCCAGAACTCTTAATTGTAGCTATGAGGAAGGAACCTGTACATAAGCCAAGTGCAGGTATTAGAACAGAAGAAGAGGACAATAAAGGGTTTAAAATCAGGAAAGGTGTGCACCAGGGTTGTGTTCTTTCATCATACTTATTCAATCTGTATACTGAACAAATAATCCAATGAGTTGGATAATATGAAGAAGAACAAGGCATTAGGATTAGAGGAAGGCTCATTAACAACCTGCAACATGCAGATGATACAACCTTGCTTGCTGAAAATGAAGAAGACTTAAAATGCTTACTGATGAAAATCAAAGACCACAGCTTGCAGTATTGGTTGCACCTCAATGTAAAGAAAAATCTTCACCACTGGATCAATAAATAATATCATGATAAATGGAGAAAAGATTGAAGTTGTCAAAGACTTCATTTTTCTTGGATCCACTATCAACACTCATGGAAATAGTTGTCAAGAAATCAAAGGGTGTATTTCATTAGGCAAATCTGCAACACAACATCTCTTTAAAGTGTTCAAGAGCAAAGATGTCAATTTGAAGACTAAAGTGAATTTAATACAAGCCAGAGTAGCGTAGTGGTTATGATTCAGGCTGCTAACATCAGGGCCAGCAGTTAGAAACTACCAGCTGTTCCTTGAGAGAAAGATGAGGCTTTCTGCTCCTGTAAAGATTTACAGCTTTGGAAACCCTATGCAGGGTCACTATGAGTTGGAACCGACTCGATGGCACTTAACAACAATTGTTTATTTTTTTTTAGGATTCACATATAAAGCAGTCAGTTGTTTAAAATTATCTCTAAGATGCATAGATTTCACTCAAATCTTTAATGGTTTCGTTTCCTCTTTTTCTTTTTTTTTTAAGTTTACAATGTAATTGAGTGAATGTTTACAGGGCAGATCATCAGTTTTACATTCCACAAATCATATTTTGTTTCATAACAATGGTTTCAATACCCTCCATGTACCATCAGCTAACAGTATTTGCTGCTATTTTACCCCACCACCACCTTTTTTTTTGGATGTACACATACAAAACAAAATACATGTCAATTTAAATGTCCAAAGGACACATTTTGCAAGCCAGACTCCTGCATGCAGACACACAGCCTTTCTCAATTCATGGGCCTAGAGTCCTCAGCTGCTCTATCTCTCTATGCCATCGTCTCTGCCACCATCTCTGTTGTCTCTGCATTTCTGGTTATGATCCCTTACTCCACTCATGCTCTTCCCCTTTAATGGTCTTAGGATCCTTTGTTCCTGAAACGAAAAATTAACTCCTCTGCCATTTTAGTTACACATCTTTTACATTTACTGTTGCGACCATTGCAATTGGCCTGATAACAATTATTCACAATATATTCATAAAATATTATCCTCAACATTCCCCACACCCTTTCATCAGACCCATCTGGAAAAGAGGAAAACTATTCAGTGGGGATTCTATCCTACCACCCTCGTTCTAACACTAAGTACACTCATGAAGCCTTGTAAGCTGACCACTTCATGCCCTTATGCCCCCCCATTTTTGATAACCAATGTCTAAGTTGCCTGTCCAGTGTACTGAGGAGGCAAACTTGATCCTTAATATGAAGAATCTTTCCCTTTTAGTTGGAATTTTGAGCAACTACATTCATAAGAAAAAGTCCAATTCATCAAATTGTAGCAATTTATGCTTGCTTCCTGTATCAAGCTTCTTTATCTTCATCTGGTTGAGTTCTGGTCAGTTGGTCATTCAAGTTAGGTCAAATGGGTACTATCTGCAAGTTTGGTAGTTCTTATATACCTCCCTTCCTTCAGACCAGCTGGCCACTTGACTTTCAATTTTAATCTCCAATGGCTAGGTCAGTTCCCATGGGCATGGAAGTTCACATGTCTCTCTTAACTTCAGACCAGCTAGCCCTTTCTCTTCTCTCTCTCATCTCAAAGTCAACAGGTGTATATACAACATGGCCAAATTTAGCCCGTGTCTACATTGCTGCATTTCCCTCACTTCCACTCACAAGTAGATCCACAGAGACCTCTAGTGAGCATACAAGAGTGCCGTGTTCTTTTTGAGTTTCATTCTTAAACTCCAAAAAAAAAAAAAAAAGAAGAAGAAAAGTCACCCCTGGTGGACTGACTTTTCTTGCCTTGATGGCTCCAAGGCAAACAGCATGCTTGATATTGTAACAGGCAAACTGTCTGTTTGTTTGTTTGTTTTTTCTGCTGGTTTTTTTTTTTTTTTCAAGAAATATCTTCTGTTCCTCTAGCCACTCCAGGTTGGTTTGCATGTCTTTTCAAGTGGGACATATTCCATGTAAGGCCCCAAATTCCACAAAGGCTTATTTCCCTGGACAAATTCTAGTACCCTTTTCAGCTAATCCAATCAGTTATAAAGCCGTGGTACTCTCACTAGCCCCATATGCATGTAAAAGTTGAACAGTGAATAAGGAAGACCATAGAAGAAATGATGCATTTGAGTTATAGTGTTGGAGAAGAATATTGAAAGTATCTTGGACTGCCAGAAGAATAAAAACATTTGTGCTGGAAGAAGCACAGCTAGAATCCTCCTTAGAAACCAGGGTGGTGAAACTTCCTCTCTTATACATAGGACAGTTATCAGGTTGGACCAATCCCTGGTGAAGGACATCATGCTTGGTAAATGGAGGGTCAGCGAGCAAGAGGAAGACCCCCAGTGAGATGGATTGGCATTGCAGGAGCAGCAATGGGTTCGTGTGTAACAAAGATTTTGAGGTTGGTGCAGGACTGGGCAATGTTTCCCTCTGCTGTGCATAAGGTTGCTATCAGTTAGAACTGACTCAATGGCACCTAGAAACAACAACATATGCATTTGTAATTTGGACAACAAATAAGCAAAACTATTGAAGAATTGATACATTTGAGTTATGGTATTGGAGAAGAGTACTAAAAATACCATGAAAAAACAAATAAATCTGTGTTGGAAGAAGTACAGTCAGAAAGCTACTTAGAAGCCAGGATGACAAGACTCTACATCATACTTTGGACATATTATCAGGGGCCACCAGACCCTGGAGAAGGGCATCATGCTTGGTAAAGTGGAGGGTCAGTAAAAAAGCAGAATTCCCCCAACAAGATGGTTTGGTATAGTCACAGCTGCAATGGACTCAAGAGTAAAACAATATGCAGATGGTGCAGGACTGGGCAGTGTTTCATTCTGTTATGCATTGGGAGCTGACTCAAAGGTACCTAGCAACAACAAACAAACAATTTAAACATCCTGTGGTAGCTATGAGTTTGTATCTACTTGAGTGAGCCAGGATTCTAAGTGATTTGGCAGTTTATATGTAGCTCTCGCCCATGATGTGATTTGATGTGATAAACCAATAAGAGAATTAAGGGTGGGATACATCGTCCTTGATCACTTCACCACTCTGATCTGAAGGAAATTCTCAGGGGAATCTGAATAGCCATCTAAAATGCAGCACATTTTATCTTACAAGAAATAAAAGGCAAGAGACTTGAATAGAGAAAGAGTGACCTACTACCATCAAAATAGAAGATGGAGTGGGATGTTTCCTTTGGAAATGGGATCCTTGTACTGTTAAGCTCTTAGATCCAGAGATGATTGATGCCAAGTTGTTTGGAGAGTTCCAAGGAATAGTTAGCCCACAGACATTGAAAGGAGATAAGACTCTTTTCCCAGACAGAGTAACTGACAGAGTAACTCTTCCTCAATTGACAGCACTTTGAATTTGGATGTCTAGCCTGGGAAACTGTGAAAGAATCAAGTTCTGGTTGTTAAATCCATCCACTTGTGGTATTTCTAATATGAAGATTACATTTTAATTAAATACTATATGTTAGCATCTCTGGTATATCCTAGAAGCTATTACACAATACAGTTTCTAGCAAAGTTATTTCATACACATTGTTGTTGTTAAGAGCAGTTGAGTTGGTTCCAACTCATAGAGACATTAGAGAGGGTTTTCAAAGTGGCTGGTATATTTGAACCATTAACTTGTGGTTAGCAATCCAGTGCTTATTTTACAGTGCCACACCAGGACTCTGCATTTATGCATGGTGGTGGTTATATGCCGTGGAGTAGGTTCCAACTCATAGTGACCCTGTACAGGGTTTTCAAGGCTGTAAATCTTTACGTGAACAGAAAGCCTCATCTTTCTCCCATGGAACAGCTGGTAGTTTCAAACTGCTGACCCTGAGGTTAGCAGCCCAATTCATAACCACTATGTTACCATAGAGCAGGCCAATTTGTTTAAAAAGAAAAAGTCCAAATTTCAAGAAATATGGAGGTTTGGATTCATAGTTACAGAGCCTCCATCAGCACTTTACTCTTTTATTAAAGCTTACAGTCATGGTTTCATATTAAACATCACATTAAGCATCAAAGTTTTTGTCTGCCCAGTATTTTCTTTGTACATTTATTATGATACTATCTACAAATAACCATTATTAAAATGGTATATGCATGTCTATTTCATTAAATTCTGAATCTGAAATTCAGGGATAATGATATAGTTATTTAACATGTCTTTTTGAAGATAATAAGCACTCAATATTGTATTTTGTAGAACTGAATTTCCTCAATGGCTACACCTTTCTAGAGCTACAATTGCTACATTTTATGAACAGTTGCTATTAATTGCCTACATTCTAATTTTCAAGGGAGTAATATCAGACACATTTATTTTCATGGTATACTATTTTGTATAATAACATTGTCTGCTCAGATTTAAAGCCTGGCATTTATTGATCATTTGTATTTATGGAGACAGTGAATTACTTAAATGGTCTAGCACTGGCCTATAGCCATCTGAATAGAAGCAAAATTTTAAGTTAAATATGGTCTAAAAATCTGACTTCCTCCAGCTCCTAGACTTGCCACAGTTCCACATGCTTTGCCCAATTATTTTACCATATTTGTCTGTACTTTCTCCAACTGCATCAATTTTTCCATCTGGGAACAGGCGGACAAACCCTCCAGCAAGCTTATTGTAGAACTGAAGAGTATTGCCTTTCATAAACTTCCAGCTTTCTGCAGTCCACTGAATGAAACAAACAAAAACAAGCAAAAATGCTACAAAGAAATACTCCTTACAAGCATATGAGCATTCTATTTTGCTTTAACATATCAGTAGACATTAGAATATTTTTATACTAATTAATATAAGGCTCAAAGTAAAGTCTTACTGTTTCTTTCCTCTTAAGTTCTAACTTCTGTCCTGAGGAGATAGAGGAAAGAGAGGAACATTATTTCAACAGTGCTAAGCCTTCTTCAATCAGTTCTCTACAGTAAAACAGAATTTCCAAGATATGTGTAAACAGAACTCACTCCCAGAGAAGAAGTTGTTCTCACTGGCAAACAGCTCTCTGGAAATTTTACCATCATCTTCCCCTTGATCTAGCCACCTGCGGGGGGGGAAAAAATGGTATCAATTATATTAAGGCTTTATATATGCATGAACCAATGACACTTATCTATTCAAATTGTAAGTAATAGGTTGTTATTGTTAAGTGCTGTCAAGTTGGTTCAGACTCATAGGGACCCTGCATGGGGTTTCTGAGGCTGTAAATCTTTGCAGGAGCAGAAAGCCTCATCTTTCTCCCACTGATCGGCTGGTAGTTTTGAACTACTGAAGTAATAGGTAGCAGGAATCACAAAAGGCACTATGCAGTGGGAAATGCAAAAGGTAGCATCAGGGATGACTATGAGAAGGTATGAAGAAAAGGGAGAAATCGCTACTTAGTAAAAATTAAAGATGCCGAAATACACAGGTAAGTTACTTAGTCACCTAGACTGTCATGTGAAAGTGACCAGGATCATGTATTTTATATCCATGGAACCACTTATTTTATTCTAATAGTTGACAACCAACTACAGTTCATACGTCAGTCAGTTATTCAGTTATTTCATAAATGGATACTACTGGTTTCACAAGGAAAGAAAGAGAAGGTTGTTGAGACAAAAAGTCAACTTACCAGACTATTGAGAAAAAAATTAAAACCCCATGTCTACTGACAGTGGGTCAGCAATGTCATCATGCAACCTTGATTTTGTACATGTAATATATTTTAACTAATTTGAGAACTGGTCCAACGTTAATAAGCTTTTACAGAGATTTTAATCCTCCTAGTAAATATATAAAGGAAAAGAAAATATGGTGTAGTGCCATAGGATAAGCACTGGGCTGCAAGGTCTGTTTGAACCACAAGGTCAGTGGATCAAACTCACCAGTCATTCATTGAAACCCCTACACAGGGTTGCTATGAGTTGGAAACGCCTCGGTGGCACTTAATAACAAAAACAACCATCTTAGTTTACCCACGAATTGTCTGTCAATTTGTTGTACTGTGGTGGCCTGCATGTTGATGTGATGCTGGAAGTAATGCCACCAGTATTTGAAATATCAGCAGAATGACCCATGGTGGACAGGTTTTAGCAGAGTTTCCAGACTAGGACAGACTAAGAAGATGGCAAGATGGATGACTTCTAAATATTTAGTCAATGAAAACATTATGGATAACAAAGGAACATTGTCAGATATGGTACCAAGAGATGAAAACCTTATGAACAATAGCAGAGCAGTGTCAGATATAGTGTCAGAAGATGAACCTCTCAGGCTGAAAGACATTCAAAATATAACTGGGTAAGAGATGCCTCCTCAAAGTAGAGTTGACCATAATGATGGGAATGAAGTAAAACTTCCAGGACTGAGATTTGCTGATGGGACACAACATAAAATGAGGAGAAACAGCTGCAAATATTCATTAATAATTAGAACTTGGAATGTATGAAGCATGAATCAAAGAAAATTGGAAGTTATCAAAAATGTAATATAATGTTTAATAATTGATATGCTGAAATGGACTGGTATTGGCCATTTTGAATCAATCAAATGGTTTACTATGTCAGAAATAAAAACTTGAAAGGGAATGGCATCACATTAATTGTCAAAAGAACATTTCAAGACGGATCCTGAAGTCCAGTGTTATGTGTGATTGGATAATATCCATATGTCTACATGGAAGGCCAGTTACTACCACTAATATTAAAATTTATGCACCGACCACTAAAGCCAGTGATCATGAAATTGAAGAATTCTATCAACTTCTTCCATCTGAAATTGATCAAACATGCAATCAAGATGTGTTGGTATTTAGTAATTGGAATACAAATGTTAGAAACAAAGGGGAAATATAAGTGATAGAAATGACTTAGGAAATTACATGACAGAATTTTGTAAAATCAAGGACTTATTCATTGCAAATATCTTTTTTTAACAACATAAAAGTGGTTATACATGTACTTCACTAAATGGAATACAAAAAAATCAAACTGACTACTTATGTTTTAAAGAGAGTGGAAAAACTCAGTATCACCTATCAAAACAAGGACAAGGGCAGATGGTGGAATAGACAATCAGTTGCTCATCTGTAAGTTGAGGCTAAAGCTGAATTTAAAAATTCTACTAGAGCCAAAACACAAAATAAAATACATACCACCTGAATTTAGAGATAATCTCAAGAACAGATGGGATCAAAGCCCAGATTTGTGGAATGACATCAAGAACACAATACAGGAAGAAAGCAAAAGGTCATTAAAGAAGCACACAAGAAATAAAAGACCAAAATGGATGTCAAAAGAGACTCTGAAACTTGCCCTTGAACATAGAAAAGTCAAAGCAAATGGGATAAATGAAGTGGTAAAGGAGCTGAACAGAAAATTTTAGAGGGCAGCTCAAGAAGACAAAGTCAAGTATTATAATGAAATGCTCAAAGACCTAGAGCTAGAAAACCAAAAGGGAAGAACACACTCAACATTACACAAATTGAAAGAACTGAAGAAAAATTTCAAGCTTTGACTAGAAATACTGAAGGATTTCATTTGCAAAATATTAAATGATACAGAAAACACTGGGAAAAGATGACAGGAATACACAGAATCACTGTACCAAAATGAAATGGTAGATGTTCAACCATTTCAAGAGGTAGCGTATGATCAAGAGCCAATGGTACTGAAGAAAGACATCTGAGTTGTACTGAAGACATTGGTGACAAACAAGTCTCCAGGAACTGATGAATAGAAATTGAAAACTTTTAATAAACTGGTACAGCACAAGAGGCAGTCACTAACCTATGCCAAGAAATTTGGAAGACAGCCACCTGATTGGAAGCTATCCATATATATGTCCATTACAAAAAGATGTTACCCAATGGAATACCATCAAAAGATATCACTGGTGTCACATGCAAGTAAAATTTTGCTGAAAATAATTCAAAACGGTTGCAACCATACATGAACCAAAATTTCCAGATATCAAACCAGATTCAGAAAAGGATGTGGAACTAGGGCTATCATTGCTGATGTCAGATGAATCTTGGCTGAAGCAGAGAACACCAGAAAGATGTTTGTTGTTGTCAAGTTCCATTGTGTCAGCTCCGACTCATAGCAACCTTTTATAGGGTTTCTGAGGCTTTTAATCTTTGCAGGAGCAAAAAACTTCATCTTTATCCTACGGAGTGGCTGATAGGCTCGAACCACTGATCTTGTGCCTCGCACTCCAGTGGCTATCATATGGAGCCACCACAACCCCAGAAAGGTATCTACTTGTGCTTTATTGACTAAGCAAAGGCTTTCAACTGTGTGGATCATGAAAAACTATGGATAACAATGCAAAGAATGAATATTAGAGAACACTCTATTTTGTTCATGAAGAATTGTACGCAGACCAGGAGGCAGTGGTTCAAAGCAAACAAGGAGATAATGAATAGTTTGGTTTAAAATCAAGAAAGATGTGTGCCAGGGTTGTAGCCTTTTACCATACTTATTCAATCTATATGCTGAGCAGATTATATGAAGCTGGACTATATCAAGTAGAATATGGCATCAGGATTTGAAGAAGACTCATTAACAACTTGTGATACACATGTAACACAACCTTGCTGCTGAAACCAAAGAGGACTTTAAGTATTTACTGATGAAGATCAAAAACTACAGACTTCAGTATGGTTTGCTCTTCAATGTAAAAAACAAAGAAACAAAAACAGCAACAAAAATCCTCACAAATAGACCAATGAATCACGATAAATGGAGAAAATATTGAAGTTGTCAAAAGCTTCATTTTGGAAACCACACAAACAAAAATAGACAAAATAGATGAGTGGGACATACTAAAAATTAAAAACGTATGCACATCAAAAGATTTCACCAGAAGAGTAAAAAGGGAACCTACAGAATGGGAAAAAATCTTTTGCAA